GTCCGGACAATAAATAGCACTAGATAATATTTTCGATATGAATATATTCTCGCGCATTGATATTATCAATTTTACACTTTTATTGCATCAAATAGCATATTTAACTGGTTTGTTTATACGTGTATTGGCTGTTTAAAATCTAAACGTACTCGCATACTTTTTATTTGTTTATTTTCCAAATAAAATAAAATGAAATAAATTTTATCAAAATCCAAAATAAAAAAAATGAAAGATAAATGAAAAAAAGAAAAAAAAAATAAATTTCTTTAATATTAGAATAAAATACAAGGTTTTTTTACTCATAATATCATAATATTTTATCAAATTAAAATAAATAGAATTTCTCAGAAAAAAATTATAAAGGATAATAAACATATTAAGTTGATACAGTATATAATATAAAGAATTTTTAGGGTAAGATTAAAGAATTAGTAAAAAGTGTTGGATAAGTATTTAAGTAATATAATACAGTATACAGCATATACCGTATATATAGTTGGTATTTTTCTAAATTTAATAACGTTAGAAATAAATTTTCAATTTTAAAATTATCTATTTGCTTCATTATCATAACGACAGTTCAATCAATCTTCAATTTTCATAATTACACTTGCAAATTAATTAATATCATTTTCGATTTCAAATTCTTTTAATAAATAATTTAACACTATATATATAAAAAAAAAAAAAAAAAAGAAACCTCTTATTATCGCATGCGGTATACCGCATGCAATTGATTGATGGTTTTAAATATACAGCGTTTGAAAATCCTAAAAAATTATATTAATGTATTATTGTATACTCAATAGGATACCATATACACCGAAACTGTGTGTATAAAAAAAAGTTTTTTTTTTTTCTATTGTTGTTAGAATGCATTATATTTACAAATAGAATAAAACCATACATATTAAGTATTTGAAGTTAGCTGTAAGAATAAAACACAAAACATTTTTTTAGATGGTTACAAGAATTAGCTTTTCGGTAACCAAATTTCACTATCCGATCTATCAGGTGGTAAACATATAACGGCAGTGGCATAAAAGTAAACATAATAAAAGCCTTTATTGACCAAACACAAAAATTTCAAAATTCCTGCGGGCACCGCATCAGATAAGGAACTTATCAGATGTGCAAATGGGCAAATCTAAAATTCACTGTTTCTCAATTCCAACACTTTTGACATGTTCGAATTCGAGCATCAACCCATGCAATATGCAAACTCATTTTCTTTAATGAAAATTTCATTATGCACAGGTGAACCTTAAAAATTTTTTTTAAAACAATAGGAAAATATATCCAGATGTTCTTTGTTTCCAACCTCTCCCAATCCCTTGTTATTACATGGTCATGGTTATTTGTCATGTCTCGGGTTGACCTTCCAAATTGAGTGGACAATTGTCTGGGAAGAGTCGAACGCAACGATTGAATTTAGGGATGACCGCGTGAAACTTGAGAAATGGGCAGCGATGAAACAACAGAAATGCAGCATGCGATAAAGGTACGGGCAATCTTGTTTCACGGATGAAGAGTGGATAATAATAATAATAATAATAATAATAACAAGAATTCAGGTCTTTTTTCCCAGCAGAATGCCTACTTTCCATGCTTGAAAAATTAGGATGGATTTGTTAATATGTAGTTGATTTTGATACATCCGCATGATCTTCACCGGAACGGGTGCCCAATAGATTTCTGATTTATAAGGGGGGTGGAAGTTTCATTCATAGGGTTCGTGTTGAACAGCCGTAGGTCGAAGCACCTTTGTAGAACTTGGGTGTCGACGCGCCTCAACCTTACTTTAAGGGAAATTTCATTGATACCGTTGTCTTGTTGGTCGTCCCGCTCAGATCAAACGTGCATGTTAGGTAAATGGAGGGAACCAAGCAGTGTTGTATTGGATCCATACCTAAATTATAGACGCGCGCAGCACGTACGCACGTAGGCACAACATTAAACAAAGGAGGTTGCCACTGATCTGTGCGTCGTCCATCAATTAAAATGTGTAATTCATCAGATGGGCGTGCGACTTAAGTATTTCGCGGGTATCGTGACACACGTATGCATATTTCACCGGAGTGCTCACAAAGGAAATCTAGTTTATGGAAAGCATATAAACATTGACACAAATTAAAAGGCAGGTCCCTTGATTATCAAAAATAAAGTCGGCCGGTGTACATACATATTCATGCGAATGTTTGGAACGGGTACGGTTCACTAGTCACCGACCTCTTAGTAATATCCCTTTTCCATGTATACTCACTAATGCCGGCATGAATCGGATTATTCCTAGACAGAAATTCTTAAAAAAGGATTAAAAACAATTTGGTGACACTTTTCTCGTACCCAACTCACCCATGTCTAATGAGACGGTGCAATCAGAAACTGATACAGACATGTATCGGCAGGTGCCCTCGTATCGGAATGGTTTGGTGCACCACATGATCTTCTTCAAAAGGTGGGATTATATTGCACCCGAGGAGGGGAACCTTATTGGCTTCGTGTCCTACATGGGAAACCCCATTTTCTTTTTGCTTGTCACAATCATAAGGTAAAAAGTTGCATACGAGACAGTGACGATTCCGTAATAGGAAAGAAGGATAATTGAAAATTGTTATTGAGGGGAACACAGGTGAAATGGATAGAGGTCTAATAACAATTAAGGTTAAATTGTCATGTTTTTCGGTTTACCATATAACAAGTGATGGTGATGCATAAAATAAAGACTTTAAACGGTGGTCATTTCTTTTCCCCTGATTGATGTATGTTTCATTGAAGACTCCGCGTCAGAAAGAAAGACTTACCATAGTATTTCCTGATGCTTTTCAACAAGAGATTCCTCTTCCCATTAAACTTTAACAAGTATTGATCGCCAGAATCTTTTTGCCTCAAAAGAAGAGAGAACCTAAAAATCAAAAGAATATATGGTTAATATTGTACGCAATATGACATAATTTGTTTGTTCACAATGAAAATTCCGTCATTACAATATGAATAAAGAATAATAATTCATTCATTGTGATTAAACGAGATAAAAAGCGCGACGATTGGTGTTGGAAATGTACGGATACGCGTAGCCCAACAGAATCAAGGCGTTTCACATTGTTTCCCTACACGCCCAATTACGTAAACGATGTCGGATAAATATTGTAAGTGGTGGTTAAATGTTTGAAGGAAAGAAGCTTTGACCTACTTTCCTCATCCTATCAGGTGCCGGTGGAAGCGGGAGAGGATGCACGTAAATGTATTATCGTGTGATACAACGTTCAGTTGGAAAATTCTCGTGCTACTGGCAGCGTACCACAGAAAACCATCGGCATGTGCGAGAAGAATTGATGTCATGGGCGGAAACATTCGCGATTGGGTCGTTTGCTTGTTGACGGTTCCTCACCTCTTTCCTCCAAATGGTCATTGACCCCCAAAAGAGATTTAATACGAGGTTTCCAATAAACACAATGAGCTGAAGGCTAAAAAAAAAAAAAAAATCTTTTCAACACCGCCTTCGCGGAGAACAAGGGGACGAAATTTCGCCAGGCAGGTTCGCCAATTTGCGCGTAACAGCCCGACGATTGACGCATCTTCAGAAGAGTGAGGCGTGATCGTTTCTCGAAAAGGAGGTTGATTTCATCAAGCGAGTAAGCGATAATCTCTCGTCGTCGTGTGCGAGTGGTGGCATCGATGCGCGATGAGATGGTCATTGTCTTGTCAGATAAGCAACTGATATTTTCGGTAATCAGCCCAATCTCCGATTCCTCATCGTCAACCATCCGTCGTGTGAGGAACATGTCAGACACATGGTCCGGTCGACGACACATAATCATCCTGCAGTCAACAGTTGAGAAGTTGAATCTAGGATGATGATATTTAACTTCACAAGTCACCTTTGACCTGTGACATCAAACCGGAAAGCTGATTGTCGCACACGTGGAACAATGCAAATAAAAATCTCCTTAAAAGGATTTAATGATCATTCATAAACACAAACATTATCATTATCATCATCATCATCATCACATCCTTCAACTTTTTGGAATAATTGTGTGATACCGTTGATATACATACCGTATGTGTCCAATATATATACATATAATTTAATTCATTTTTTATATACGGGTTGGTATGTTTACTGTTGTTTATGCACATATGTATGTATGGTTATGTGTGTATGGAATTATGAAAGACTCGATTCGCCGCTTTATCTTCTTTTAAACTCGATAGATTCTTGATTTCACATATAACCATCGGACGATCCTATTGTAAAAATTCCGCATACCGATATGTTTACAGAAAGAATAATGAAAGTTATTAGTTTTATCCCTTTCTTTCTTTTTTTTTCTAATTGTTGAACGTCGGTCGGCCGTTTTAGCCTTCTACCCCGCAAAGAGAACCGGGATTTGAACTCTACTCGTTTTCCTAAGAGACTCCCGAAAAAAAATTGTTTGCATTCGGTGACGCCTTTTATTGTACACTGGCACTTAACATATTAATCTTAACCCATACATAATAATTCAATTGGTTTTTTTTTTTTTACAATAAACAAGTTTATTTTATTTGACTTTTTTTTTTCTCCCGCGGTCTTTGCAGCAAAAATTACGTTATGCGTGATTCCGACTTTTTGCTGTGTTCATATTTTCGTACAATAAACTATATCGTACCTTTCCCTTTAGAAAAATATATTTAAACGCTTACCGTTTTTTCCTCAATGGTGTCATCCTTTTTTTTTTTTTGCGGATTACCTTTCCTTCACTGAAGATAAACCTGTGTGTCACGTATAATAAATATATAAATACTTAATTTATTCACTCGGCAACTTCATTCTTTTTCTTTTTTTTTTTTTTTTTCCTTTTTTCTCTCTTTGTACCGATTTCTTCCGTTATCACCAAACGACCCTTTCACGAAAGAAAAATATCATCCGCTAACGATTCTCCCTTGTCCCCGCCTCCGGCTGACGACCATCGATTAAAAATCATCATTTATTGCGACGAACAAGTTACGCTCACATGGATTTGGCGCTGTTCAGGATCGCTCTTTTTCAAGGCCTGCGGAACGAAAGGCCCGAAGAACGTAAAGAAGCTTTGGCGAAAATTGAAAGGATTTTCGAGATTTTGTTAGCAGCGAATACACCGCCTACACCGCCTACACCGCTTACCCCACATACCCTACATACCCCCACATCTTCAACATCCTCCGTTTCGGGGGAATTATCAGGAACCGCTGATGTTACTGATAATGATGTTTTAAAAGCCAGAGAGGCCTTGGATTTATATATATTAACAATCTTGCGCATGTCTGTTAGTTGTCCCTACGCGGATGTTCGACACGCCTTTAAAAAGCTTCTAAAAAAGTTGAAGGTAGGCCTTGACGATATTTCACCATCTCCTGTGACAAACCGTCACGTGAGAATCTCAGAGAACTCGTGATCGATCGCTGAGATTTTAATTAGTCTCTAAATGATCCATCGAAATCGATGCTTCCCTGAGATATACCTTCGACCTCATTTAACCAATACATCTCCTTCAAACAATCTAACCGCAGAGTTCGGGTGTAACCGTGCCAGAGCGTGTCTACAATTATCCTTCGCTGTATATCCCGGCAGAGGAAATGTTCAGATTAGAGTGGTCTGATAGATCTCCTGAAGCATCCCCAGAAAGCCTTATAGGGATTGTACCTGATGAGAGCGTTCAACATCTAATGCTGGATTCTTTTATCAACAGCGGTAGAATCCATAATTATTATCAGATTTTGTTCCAGTTTCCAAAGTTCGCGGAAAAATATAAAGCAGCAAACACGAAACTGATGAAGGCGGATCCTTGCGTTCTTCCAAAACACTACAAATATTATATCGGGATTATGGTATTGTTTTGTCATCAATGATCTCTTTTTAATTGGTATTTCGCGATGGATCAAATATATCTGATTTCCCGTCAATTCTGTATAACTGAATCAGGCCGCATCGCAACACAAGTGTCAATGTCTCGTTTCGCATTTAAGAAACGAATTTTTGTTTTTCCGTGGTGATCCCGAATGGCTCAAGGGTTTAGAGCATGCTCCACCCAAAATCAAAAAGATCGCTAAAATAAATACGATTTTGGCGCATCAGCCGTGGCAACTAGAACCGAAAGATATTAGACATCTTCGTGACTCACCTGATAAATGGACTTATCAGGAGATTATTCATATTATCATTATACTTAGCACTTTTCATAGTTTAAGTAGTTATGTGCTGAGTTGCGGCATTGTTCCAGAGTATGACGCGGTTGGGGGATATAAGGTCACCCTCCCCTCTGACAGCAACGAAGCGGGAGCCTCTATCGGCCTAGACACCAAAGAACTTGTTTCACAAGACGTGGGTACCGGTCTGGGAATTTCCGTCAAAGTGGTTAAACAATTATTCGGAACATTGGAGGATGGATCACAAATAGATGATTCCGTAAAGGGTGATGAAATTCCCGGATCACCCAAACCAGAAGTCGATACTGTGAAGGATGGTGAGACTATTGGATCACCCAAAGAAGATCGTCCTGTGAGAGAAGGAAGTCTTGAGGATGATCCCGTACAGGATGGAGAAAATCAGGGAGATGATCCTGCACAGGATGGATCTTGCAAAGGGGAAGAGCTACCCGAAGATAATGAATTTGTGAATTGCGACGATGAAGGTGAGTAATTGGACACGTGTGTGTAGTTCGTTCATTCTTTTATCTTTTTCTTTTTTAAAAAAAATTACTACGATAAAATGCTACAGCACCTGCTGGTGAGAAAGCGACACAGAAGACCGAAAAGGAGCCAGATCCTATCCCGGTCGATGTTCTCACTAAAGATTTTTCTTGTTACCTCGACTCAACTCCGTATTCTAATGCCGTATTCGGCGGACAAGATTATAGAAACGCTTCTCAGTTAAATAGCTTAGATTTTAACTGGTCTGATCACGGGACCAGTAAAATAAATCAATATCATCCAGGTCTTGGTGATGTCCTGGGTGAAGAATTCGGAAAAATTCGAGAAATTAACATGTAAATATCGTGTTCCAAACGTATCAAATAGTTTCGACTACACGCAACTGACCTATAATGCATTTTTAACTGCGTACAATCTGAAACCAGATCGTTTTCCCCTGATCTAACCGAGGATAAATCGTCTTTTCGCGAGGCGATTTGGCAGTACGTTTTTAGATTATATGGCGTAAAAGACGATGGATATGATTACAGAAACATCAAAATATTTCTCAAGGATAATATTAGATGTTTTATAAAAAAGGTCGGGTCGTTTTTGCCTTGTCACCTGATGTACATCGATTTTACTGAACCACGTTTTTTTTCCTTGCGAAATTAATTTTACAGGCATGCACTAAACCCGAAGACATCACACGTGAAGATTGGAACAGCTTGGGATCTAAGACGAGTGCCAAGGAGAAATGTTATATCATACTTGTTTCCATCGAGGCGCGTAAGCAAGCTGAATTGTTGCATGGATTATGGTGCGTATGTGAAGCAGAAAAGATGAAGTACACCCGGCAGTTAGTCGTTTAATGTGGGCATTCCATCTTGCGTGAACGACATATTTCGTTTTACGGAAATTAAAAACAATCGGTATCTCCGAAAGATCGGACAAACTTTATTTTTAAATTTCGAAATTTTTCTAGAGATTACGGGAAACTACAAAAAAAAAAAAAAAAAAGATTATGCAAAAAAAAAAAAAAAGAATCGCACGACGTTTCATATACAAGCTTTTCAAAAACATTTCACCATAAGCAAAAAACCATCACCATCACATCGAGAAAATGAATGATTTTCACCTTTAGCATGCATGTTTACCTCTAATATGTTTATGCATATATTTTCAACATACGCACAATTCTTCTCGATACCTCTTAAAAAACAAGAATCCTCATCCCAATCCCTTCCATGTAATATATGTAAATTCTTTCATCTTTACACACATATATACTGTATATACAGTATATATATATATATCCACTTTTCACGCGTTGAAACGTAATTTTTCTTTTTTTCCTCGGAAAAAAAAAAAGAACAGAACCGGTATAATGCGCAAAAAATAAATATTCAAAAAAATTATTTACTGTACGTATCGATAAATAAGAAAAATGATGAACGAACATATCAGGTTAATATGTGTGGGTTTCGTCATTCGTGTTATCACAAAATTTTTGTTATATCGCGAACGATTCTCCTTTGTATCTACGCCGCCGGATCTCTCGCGGATTCACTCCACGACTCGTACTGAATGAAACCTTTTGTTGACATTTGCTATAAATGTTCGAGTCATGCATGCATGCATCATATAAATCATTCATCGACAAAGCCGAGGTAAGTAAGAGAAGCTTCATCTTGATGAATACGTTGTATTGTCATAAACAAAAAAATCAGACATCGTATGATGTTGATTGATCGTCACACTAACACCTATTACCACGCACACTCCATGGCATGATTTTATTGCGCGATCACATTTTAGGTATAAATAACCGACCGGTCTTACGCATCATTGATGCCACCACATCAATTGCTCCAACCTCGATACACCTCCCCATTCAAGGCTTCGAAAATTTTTCGTTTGTTAAAGGGAAGTAATAATAACATTAACGCATCAGGGAGATGGCTTCAAGACTCATAACCGATGCATTGAAGCAACGAATTCGTCGACCAAGTTTGTTTCCAAAACTTACGACCGCCGAAGAACTTATTAACAGCGGATTTTTTAAAGATGGGATGAGAATGGGATGGGTGCGTAGATTTATCAACGGCAGAATCCCGAGAATTCGTCTTGATAATATACACGCAGCATATTCATTACATGTGTATATGCTGTATATGCTTGGACGTATTCTAAATTCAAGAATGCATCGCATCCAGACTAACACCGCAATTTGATTTGCCAGTCTGGGTTCACAGGTGTCGGTTATCCAAAGATTACGCCAATTGCTCTCGCAGAACATGTGGAAAAGAATAATTTGAAAGGAAAACTAAGATTTGATCTTTATGTTGGCGCGAGCACTGCCGCTGAAACGGAGAATAGGTGAATAATCATTTTGCCAAATTTTTAATAATCATTCTGCCAAAAAAAATTTTTTTTTTTTTTTTTTTTTTTTTCGTGTTAATTTCCCTCCCCTCCCCCAAATTGGGCAAATTGGGCATGACAAAAAATGATGAAACGATCATACGATTTTATTGTGTTCGGTTCCGGATGAAATTGGCAACCTATTAAATATTACACACGTAAAATTGACCTTTTTTTTTCCTGTTTCTGATGCGAATTTTCCTATAGATGGGCAAGAGTGAGTAAATTACCCTAATTGTGTGTGGATCAACAATTAATTATCTGATCATTACAAAAATGACGAAATACTTCAACTTTTTGCAATCCTCGTGTTCGTTGCTCCGTTAGAATGGCATGATAGCTCGTCGTTATCCATATCAAGTCGGCAAAGATATTCAGAAAGAGATTAACTCGAACCGCACCTTGTTCGCCGACAAACATCTTTCGGAATTTCCCCTGGTATGCAAAGGGTGTTTCCTTCGGTCGAATTTCCTTGTCGAACGGTGAATTCAATTTTTTTCGTCTTATCATCAATCGATCCACTTAGGATCTCGTTTCGGGCTATTACACACTCGAGAAGAAGGGAAATGTCATAGAGAAACTCGACGTGGTAATCGTAGAGGCGACCGCTATTACCGAAGAAGGAAACATAATCCCCGGTGCATCGGTTGGTGCCACTCCGGAAATCGTTCAATCGGCGGCCAACCTTGTCGTTGAAGTGAACACCTTCCTGCCGAATTTTGAGGGACTGCACGACATCACGCTGAGCAAATTTGCTCCCTACAAGTTTCCAAATCTGATTCAGCGAGTTGATGACAGAGTTGGGACGGTAAGGAAGGAGGTCCAAGTTATTGTTGGTCGCCACTAAATTTCGGTTTTCACTCACTCCGTTCTCTATCACAGCCCTATATTCCGTGCGACAGCGACAAGATCGTCGCAATCATAGAGTCGACGAGACCAGATCGCACGTCCGACAGTGAGCAACAGGATGACTGCTCTCGCGCAATCGCCAGCAACATACTTGAATTCCTAGAGCATGAGGTTACGATGGGCCGATTACCGAAACAACTCTTGCCTTTACAATCGGGTGTTGGAAATATTGCTAACGCTATTATAGGCGGTTTGGCTGATGGCCCGTTCTCTGATGTCGAAGTGTGGACCGAAGTTATTCAAGGTTTTTTTTTTTCATGCCACTCTAAATATGCATCGCACAACAAAAAAAACCATTGTACTTTGAAATTCTTAATCCCCGTGAATTTAAATTCGCGTAGATACATTCTTGGATTTCTGGGAACATCACAAATTGGCATTCGCGTCGGCAACGAGCGTCGCATTCTCGCCAGTAGGATTTAAACGATTTTACGAGATGTGGGATGAATTGAGGGATCGCTTGGTGCTTAGGAGTCAAAGTGTTAGCAACTCGCCGGAAATCATCAGACGTTTGGGTGTGATCGCAATGAATACTCCCGTTGAGGTACTTTGCTTACACCACCCCATTATCATCATCATGTGCGCATTTGTCCAACGTGCATTTTTTTTTTTTTTTTTTTCGCAACTTAGCTAGATATTTATGCACACGCGAACTCAACGCACGTGTGTGGGTCCAGAATGTTGAACGGCATAGGCGGTTCGAATGATTTCCTGAGGAATGCCAAGCTTAGCATTATGCATACACCCTCCAGCAGGCCTACAAAAAAGGATCCCACGGGTATTTCATGCATCGTTCCCATGTGTTCACACATCGACTCAACGTAAGTTTATCATCATCCCCGGTCATCCTTCGCGCGCTTTGATCACATGATAAACAAGACCTTCCTTCTAACCGAATCCTCTCTCTTTCACTTTTCTTTAACTGTACAGCGAGCACGATCTCGACGTGGTGGTAACCGAATGCGGCTTGGCTGACTGCAGAGGAAAAGCCCCGGTGGAACGCGCCCGATTAATAATCAACAATTGTGTTCATCCCGACTATCAACCAATCCTGAGAGACTACTTTGACATGGCCGAAAAGAAATGCTTAGCAATGGGTTCTGCTCATCAGCCACAGATGTTGGATAAGGTGTTTAAGATGCATTTGAATGTGATGGGCGAGGAGAATACCATGAGAATCAAGAATTGGGATTGACAGGGCAGGATTGCAATAATTTTATACTGTTCAATTTGAAAAAATGAGATTCTTTTCAGATCCGAATTGCCATTTTACTTTTGTATGTCGCATAGTTTCACACGGTCATATACAATCTAGTTTTTAAAAATCATCTTGCAATAATACACACTTGAAATAGATTAATAAAAATTTTCCTTCTCGAGAGTTGTTCATTGTCAAATGTCGAGGGGGATGGCAATCGTGATGATTAACTTGATTTCATTTTGATCTGCAAATCACGAATAAAAATTTCATTCGTAAAAATTCATGAATAAATCGAACCTCGGCGAGATCTTTATTGATTGATGCTGTTTTCATTGTGCCTCCACCATTTTACGAACGAACGCGCATTCCGTGACCCGCCCTCGCGTCCAAAAAATGAAGCCCAGGTGATCGCATCAAGCACAAAGACGAATGACTGTATTGTTAATTTCGAATGGACTTGCTACTACTTGATGCCTCGAAATATAATTGTGTTACGCCGACACCCCAAACAGGTACCATGATCAATGGTTCGCTGGGGTCGGGTGATATTTTCAACGAGAACACCAATTTGTATGTCCATATCCTTGCGCAGGACATGGTACTTGATTCGCGAAAAGGAAATGATCTTTCCAAGGAGTGATCATAAACTTCTCGACCGTGCATGTGAATGCCATCGATGCTGAAAAATGAAGATCCGGTTTCCCCGGGAAAGAGTGAAGTTGGTTGACTCGCGAGCGGTCTTATTCTCTTGGAGATCCTCGACATCATGGCACCGTCGGGTCTACCGAGAAATTTGAATTCCCAATGATTGGCCGAATACAAATCCATCACCAAATTGTTGGCAAAGAATTCACCCTTCAGGATTTGACCCTGCATGTTGTACATGACGTTACCATCCTCGGCGATGTGAAGGAGTGAGGGTTCGACCTTTCTCAAGTAAACCATGACCTTTTCTTCATTTGAAAAGAAGTCGTGACCCGATGGACTCATGCCGGTGAAGAAGAACGGACGAATGGTTTGGACGAGGCGCTGAAGTTTGAAAAAATGGGCATCCAATGTCAAATATTTGAGGAAATTATCCATATCCCAACCCAAGGGTAAACTCTCCATTTTCAAGGGGAAAATGCTATGCCCACGTAGATGTAAAGAGATAAATTCAAATATGTCCGGATCACGATCGAAAAAGACTTGATTGATTCCCGGAGGCATGATCGAGAAGGTCTCGGTAAAAAGATTTGGTGAATCACGTAGTATACTAGTGAAAAAAGCGAAGATGCGCGCGTATCGTGCACGGTAAGAATCGATGATAGTCGATAAAAGCGCATTCTCATTATCGTGTGTACCTCTGCGGAGTAAAGGTGAAAACCCTTCCCCCAATGTTAACAAATATTTGACTCATTTTCCCACGATGTTCAAGCTGTCTCAGAATTCTCGATATGAGGTGGATGACGATCAGAGATTTTTTGCAGGATCATTTGTCACTACTTGTACATCCTGCCTGCGATCGTTCCCTTATAGGAATCGCGACACGACTTTTTAAGGTCGCACGAGGCAATCGAACCTGCGAACGTGTCATTTCGATGTCATAGATTTCGATTTCTCATACCCGGTCACGTCGGTCATCGTGTCCGCGTACGCAAAGCAGGTAAACCATTTTTTTTTTAAAAAAAAAAAAAAGAAAAAGGAATGTACAAGATAGGAAAGTCGCCAAGTAGAACATAAACCGTTATATGATCACAAAACACTCGCACATCATCAGAAGCTTTATTAATCCTCTTCTTAATTTGGCAATTTTCATTAAATGATAAATAAATCATCCTTAATATAGTCTCCGGTTTGCACGAAAAATTAAGATCACAAAATCTCGAAAGGTTACATAGTACTGCAATATATGTACTGCACAACACTTGAAATCACCATTAAGAAATTTTTTAAAAAGTGTAATATCAAGGAATCTCCCTCCTTTTTTTTACTTACTTTATCCAAAATAAAATGAAATAAAATAAAAATGCTAATTTTTAATGGCTCTCCGCGTTAAAACAAAAAAAAAAAAAAAAAATTGTTGACAGCAAATAAGAGTAACTCTAAAATAAATTTGTGAAAATAAAAACTTTAGCAGATTATAAAAAATTTGTCGATAAAAATTTGTTGAGTTACTTCAAAAAAAAAAAGTCTGTATAAATTAGAATATTTTAGTTAGAATATATATATATATATATATATATATATATAGTAGATAAACCGAAGAGCCATTACTGTTAATTAAATGCGTAAGATAATTTTGATATATGCTTTGCTTGATAAAAAGGATAAAGTTGACAAAATGTCCTTTTAAATAAAAAAAAAAAAAAAATGAAGAGAGAGATTTCTAGATAAGATGCTAGTTTGTGATCTAAATGAGTTCTCAAGCTGAACCGGATTATATGCTATATATATATATTTGAAAGAAAATTGCCTCTGAAGAGAAACCAGGACTCCCGAAAGATTTAATTGATTTTTTTTCGCGTGTTTCCTGAACTTGACACGAAGAGTTGATGAATCGAAAGTCCCCAGAATGACTTATTTTTTGTGAATTGGCTTAAAATAATTGTTGATTATTCCTGGTTGAAGTTACAATATTACAACATTACGTGTCATATCAAATGACTCCATGGATTTTTCTAATTTGCAAATTGATTTGAAATGAAGAATTATCTTCTCGTATGACAGGTTTAAAAAAAAAATAGAAGGACGGAAATTTAATATAGCATGGTTCCACTTACGAGTGAAAAATCAAGGTAAAGGTCGTGACATTTTCGCATTGGACGACGAGATCACCGGACTTGCAAGAAACAATCTCTTTGGCGATTATTTTGTGAGTTTTTCTTTCTTTTTTTTTTTTTAAAAAAAAAGATGATAATGTACACTCTTGTCTTTCTTTATAGATAGGTGTTGTCCATTTGAAAAGAAGAAAAAAAAAATTGTAACCAATGGTTGAAGCTTGTGATTCTTGTAGGGCAGGAAGGGCCCGCACAATCGTCGCAAGGCTCGTGGGAACGAGAACCACCAAGATGAAGCTTGAGAGTATTTGCAAGAGGGTGGTATGAAGACTCAAGTGTGTGAGAAAATGTGGAATTTATATAATTTCATGGCGTGCATTGTGGGCGAAGTAAATAAGAAAGGATCAGTTAAGTTTTGAATTTGAGTTTTGCTAAGCCTGCAGAAAACGAATCCATACCTGCGGAATTCATAAACTGATGCGTGAAATTGCATTGGCACTTGTCGCTTTAGGTTTTTCGCCAGGATTTTTCGAATTGGTTTTAGGTTTCGGGGAATGGCTGAGATAAGTACATGAAGACCTAAAAAATGCAAATTTCATGTTGATCATGTCAGGCTTGGTGAATGGGCTGAGACTTTACAAAATTTGCTTCCCAAATATTAAATCATAAGGCTGTGAAACGAATCATGCATCTTATTTAGAAAAGGAATATTATAGTTCTTTTTCGGTGGCTTGGATATTTGGCTGAGGCGGACCGTGAATGGAAAGCAATCCATTCCTCGAATATAAATAAGATCCAGGGCTTGGATCAAGTTTGGCAGAGGATGATCATAGGTTAAAGTTTACGACATGTTTGTAAGGACCCAAGGGCATAAAGTTTAATGCTTTTTCTAGTTAAAGTACAGGTAATGTATTGCGATCGAGGACCAAAGGGGAATTTTAAACAATGTATTGTCAAACACGACGAGAATTTAAGATGAATCTTCAATGAATAGGGCTGTGGCAAAAGTTGCGACCAATGTGTCACCTCAGATTAATCATTAAAGGAGACTAGAACGCAATGATAAAATAAAATTATGATATTTTAATTATCCAATGTTTTGAATTATAACATTATAACGCAAACTAAAATATCGGGAAGTCGGCAAGTATTATTAGATTTTAACAGGCCAATCGATTTTAGAAATTTAGGCCGGACTATCTCAAAGATCAATTATGAAAATGAACAGGTTAAAATCGTGTTGATGACCGCGGCTTCCCTTTTTTTTTTTTCTGAGATCGTTTCCGCATTCCATAATCCGTGTTCAGGTGTTACAACACATTAAACTGATAAACAAAAGGAACGTGGCCGTGCATAAATCTTCCTTGGAAAGATCTTGGAAGACGAATAAACGTAGGAAAAAAAAAAAATGTAAGAAAGAAAATATGAAATATGAAACGAGGCTTGGCGACCTGATCGGCAATCTCAAAACAAGGTCTTTCGATTAATTTGATGCATCCGGAAACTATTTGAGCAAACTTTTTCTTTATTTATCTTGAATCTCGAACATTCTTGTTAATTATGATTGCAGAAAAACGTGAATACCAGAGACCAATCGATTTTTGAATGCTAATTTCGGTCAATTCGGTTGAAAAAAAGGACCCTCGGCTGGGCAAACTTAAAATATAATGGTTGTCGAGTTTCAAATTATACTGTAAATAATTTGGACAGGTTTTCAAAGTTGCCTGCCTGATTACTACCCCTCAATCAAGATACCATCCAGATACATTAATTACCAATGAAATGACGAGTAGCCAATGTGAAATTCTGTTTTTTTTTTGCGAATGATTAACAAATCAACAGTTCGAGTCGACCTGATCTAGACTTCTTATTTTAGAAAACCTTAATGATATAAATGTCTTGATTAAAATTATTAAGGGTATTACACCTTCGAAGAAGACCATTATGCAAGTTTTAATCTAAAGATCATCCATCATACTTCTCGTCCGTTCGAGGTAACAGTAATTTTATTGATAGAAAATATTAATACAGTAATTCAATAATGAATTATAAGATTAATGACAAAATCCATTGTATAAATTGCAATTATATTTAAAGAACATTTATTGTATTAAAAAAATTTTTTTATTTAGAAAATTGTTTTCAAATAAATTTGTTCCTTATACTAAATTTCATCCATAAAAAAATCTATGATGATTTTTTTTGTTGAATAAACAATTATTAGTATTGTTATTATTTAATGCTTATTTGATTTTTATAATTAAAATAGTTTAAATTTGTTAAAATTAAGTCTCAACTAAGTATTTTAAATCAGGTTTTAAAAAGAACTTTTTACTTATTCTGATAGATTGAAACTAAATTTCTAACCTATCAAGATTATTACTAAATTTTTTTTTTTTTGAGTACCCGTAGCCAGGTTAGATCGTCAGTTTATTAATTAAATGAAGACAAAAGTACATTTTTATTCGAGCAGCATGATACATACTATAGCTAAACTATTATTCTAATCTAACTAA